GAACTTCGAAGCGATGGAGTGAAGTCTTCTTGTGATAACGTTATCACGATTGTAGATACTATCAATAAAAAAATTGTGAAGTAACTTGGTTTGGAATCTTTTAATTTTTAATTTTCATTTCTTGTTGATAATTTTTTAATTTTCATCTCGTGTTGATAGTTCAATTTTTTTTGATTTTTTGTTGTTGCTTGTATTTTATTCCATTGTAATTTCAGTTTTGTCGCTTAATAAAATTGCAATTTTTTCAGCTAATTTTTTAAAATTGATATACAGATTTTTTCAGGGATTTCAAATCAATTCACATCATATTAGAGAATGGAAGTCCGAACTGATGAAATTCACGACGAAACATTGTCAACCACCTTCAAACAAACCATCAAATTCATCAGGGTTTAAGATAATATATTGAAGTTCAACTGAAATAACATTTTTTGACAGGTTTACTGTCGATAATTGAACTGACAATATCTGAGACTGACACTGGATCACCTTCAATCTACTTTCACGTCGAAGAAACTTATTTTCGCTACTAATACCTTGCAAAAACTCTTCTCAAATATTGCCCGCGATATTGATTTTGAAATCCACCGCTTCCTGAAAAAATCGGAGATGAATTCAACGAAATGACCACACGTAGATAATATACGTAATCCAAGTTTTATATGCAAGTGGAATCTCCCATGTATTATGGATATTCTGGGATCAAATTGAGCACGTTTATGAAAAAGTAATCCCGACATATGAAGCAAAGTTTAGTTATTGTCGTAAAGTTTTCTCCAACAGAGAGTTTTATGGGAGTTGAGGTGAGTTATTGAATAGATGAATAGATGAACTTTTCGAAGACCGATTCATAGGCGTTCATCGAATGGAGGGTGCGAAGAACAAGCTGCCAAAAATTGGATTTTTTAGTGGAACCATCATGAAAAAGTTGAACTAGAATTCAATGTTACAAAAAAATATCAATTTTATGGATGTATGATAATAATAATAATAATAATAATGGAGGCTCATGCAAGCTAATAAGCCTGATGTAGTCCTTCTCGACCACCAGATCAAAACGATATTTGTCGTGGAGTTTTCAGCTCCTGGCGAGACGAATATCGTCAGAAAAGAGGAGGAAAAACGGATAAAATATCGAGATT